ACTGGTGGTGAGCAACGGGTGGATACTCCTGTTAAGCAGGAAGCTCCTAAATTTTGGCGAAGTGAATGCAGGGGCTCTATCCGTAAGAAGGCGTTTCGGAGATCCATCCTGTAATACTCGCTTGAGCACCTGCTGATAGGTAGAAATGCTGGTGGATTTGGACGGGAACGTCCATGTGTATCGCGAGAAATGGTCGACTTCGACGTGGAGGTATACTTTGGCGTTGCCATATTTGGCAAACCCTGCTATGGTGTCAAGGGATAGTAGGTCAAAGGGTCCTTTGGCTTATGGTGGTTGACCTAATTCCCCGTAAGTGGGTCCCAATGGACGTTTTGTCAACTGGCAGGTTGGACAGGTTTTAACCTTCTGTGTAATGTCTTTTGACATGCCCTGCCAATAATGCTGAGCTGAGATGAGTCTTGTCATTTGTGATATGCCTAGGTGGTTGTATTGGGTGTGTACTGTTTGTAGTAGTGTGTTGGTGAGTGTTTTGGGAATTATGATTTTGGTTACACCTTTGGAAGAAACGGTATGCAGTCCATTGTGATCAATGGTCAAGCTAGAACTTCCCGATGGGGAAGGCTGATGGTTCTTAATGAGGGAGACGTCTAAGAAACCACAGAACGGGTTACGGGACAGGAGGTCCGCCTCATATTGCTGTGTTCCCTTTATGTAGCGAACCTCATACTCGTAACTCGACAGCCGTAAACTCCATCGAAATAATCTGCCTGGCGGGTTTTTGATCGTTTTCAGCCACTGCAATGCGTGATGGTCAGAAAATATGGTGAATTTTCTTCCCATCAAATAGACGCGGAATTTCTCCACACTCTCAACGATTGCTAAGCACTCTAATTCAGAGATGAAGTAATTCCGTTCATGTGAACGCAGGGAGCGGCTGAAATACTGGACTGGGTATATTTTCCCATCAGGGTGGACCTGTTTGAGGATGCCTGCTATACCGAGGGTGGAGGCGTCACAGTACACCTGGCATGGCAGACCTTTTTGTAAAGGTGTAAAATGGGGTGGTTGTGAGGCTTTCTTTCAGGCTAGTGAACGCTTTTTGGCATTTTTCATCCCAGACCCACATGACATCCTTTTTGAGAAGGTTGTTAAGAGGCGTCCGCAAGCGGGCGTAGTCTGGAATCAATTTGTTATAAATGTTCACAGCGCCTAGAAAGGATTGTAATGTTTTGCGGTTGTGTGGTTATTGAATGGCGTGGATGATGTCCGTGTTGCGTGTGAGTGGTGTGGTAGTACCAGCAGTGATGGTGTATCCTAGGAAATTTATGATATGTTTAAAAAATTCGCATTTTGCGAAGTTAAGTTGTAACTTTTCTACCTCGCAAAAGGCGAAAAATTGTCGCAGATGGTTTTGATATTCCTCCAGTGTGTTGGAGAAAATGATGAAGTCAACAAAATAATGTGACACACAGTCAAGTCCGTGCCTCTGTAGGATTTGACTCATGGCTCTTTCATAAATCTGAGGGGTGGTTTTCAACCCGAAAGGCAATCGAGTGGGCTGATATAACCCTTCGAGCGTGGGAAATGCCAACAGTTGTCGAGAATCGGGGTGTATTGGGACCTGCCAATACGCAGAGGATATGTCGGCCGTGGAGAAATTCTTGGCCCGTGCGAGACGGTCGAGTATTTCCTCGATCCTTGGGAGTGGATGGACATCAGAGCTGATAAGTTCGTTCACCTTTCTATAGTCAATGCAAAACCTTTTGGTCTAGTCGCGCTTGGTGACGAGAGTGACTGGGCAAGAGAAAGGTGAAAACGACTGCTCTATAATGCCATTTTCCAGCATTTGTTGGACCTGACTGCGGATTTCCTGTTGGTCGCATATCGGAACACGATATGGACGTATGGTGATGATTTTGTTGGAGTTCATGGGTATTCTTGCTTGTGGGATTTTTAAGCATGGTACGCCGAATTTGTTTTGTGTAAATATGTGGTTGTATCTTTGTAAAAGTGTGGTGAAGTGAGGTGGATAGTGAGGACTGTGTGTGGTACTGTAGAATGTGTATGGGGAAGGATTTTGTTGTGTTTTAGCGTGAGTGTCGCGCTTGTCGCGATGTACACGTGTGTGACGGTTGTTTGATGACGTGTGGTCACGTGTGTGCCTTGTGTGAGAGTTGTCCTGTTGGATGGACACTGTCTGGGCATTGTTGTTACGAGTTGGGGCCGTTGTGACCTTGTGCATTGAGGACATATAATAAAGGCAGTTGGCCTTTGTGAAAAATTTGTGTTGTGCGTGCGCGTGACTAGATTGGCATGTTGGCAATTGGTTTTGGACCAATGGATGCGCGCATTGGGTGCCATGTGCGGACGGTTTGTGTGCATTGTGAGTCCTTTGTGACACCGCTTGGCACTCCCAATACGTGCATTCATTGGGTACATGATTGAAGTGGTAGGTAGTGGTAGACAATGGAGCGTCAAGTTGTAACATAGTGCCTTGGTTAAAGTCTATGGTTATTTTAAAATTCCGGAGGGTATTTATACAGATAATTCCAAATGGTAGAGGTGCTTCCACCACATGGAAATTCTATTTTTTGGTTAATTTACCTATTGTCAGGGGAGGATTATTTTGCCCATTGTTGGTACAAGACCGTTTATGGCCTGTAGGTCTATAGACTGTTTTTTAAGTTCTAATTGCGGGAGGTCACATTTTATCTTTTTATATAGGTTATAGGGCACTATGTTCAAGCTTGCGCCTGTGTCAATGAGAAAAGAGGGTGAGAGTTCAGGCGTTAGGTACAGTTTCATCGTCAGGTGACTGACGAAAAGGGGTTGGTGCCTTCCTACCTGGTTGGCGAAAAGCTGGGGCGTCTTGGGCTTGTTTTGGAGGTGTGGGGCGCCAGGCGTGCTGTGGAGGTGGGGCTGTTTGCACTGCCCGCGCGCTCGCGTGTTGAGCCGGTCTGTTGTATCGGCATTCGCTGTTCCAATGACGGGCGCCGCAGAACTTACAGTTCGATGGAGGAGCAGGTGCAGTCCACGCACCTGTTCTTCTGGGTGTGCTGGTGTATGGGCCCGACATGGTGGGCGGTTGATCCTCGCGGTGACGTGCAGTTGGTACGCTGGGCCCGTGGATCCGCTGCACCAGTCGGAACTACTTTCCCAGGCTCTCAAGGGTACCACGCGGACCAGGCGCTGTTCGGAGAGCGGCAACCCCTCCGTCAGCGTCTCGAGGATCACCTCCTGTGGGAGTCCCAGCTGTAATCCCATGGCGGTTTTCTCCCGGTAATTCTTCTCCAGGTCTGCCTGACCAGCAAGCTTCATGGCAAAGTATTTTGCGAAGGATGCCTCGCTGGATTCCGGGTAGAGATCCGTGAGGGTTTGCCTCACCTGGAAGTAGCTCTGGGTGGCCAACCGGAGTTTCCTGAAGAGTTCCAGGGGTTGGCGTGTCAGGTAGCCCGGCAACCGGAGTAGCTTATCGGGGGCGTCCACGTGGGCGTCGTCCATCTTCCGGTCGTAAGACTGGAAGAATTGGCGGGCGCTGTAGGTTCCATCGAAGGGTGGTAGCTCCGTCTCCGCGCGGTCGGTCGGCCTAACATGGGAGAGCCCGTCGCCAACTGGAGTAAAATCCCCGCTAAGGGGCTACTTCGCTTACGTCGGTTTCTTCCTCTCTGGTTACGTTGCCGCTATTTTTTACTTCTGTGTTTTGCTCGTCTTCCATTTTAAAAATCCTGTCGACTCTCTATAATAATTGAAACTTTTTTCGGGATTGGTTTTGGATGGTTGGTTGTTTGGTTGTCGTAAGACCCTGTTGACTTACTTGAGGATGTGGACGTGTTGGTGATTGTTGGCGCAGTCGTTTTGGCTGAAATGGTAGGTTTTCTCACAGGGGAAATAACGAGAAAGGACACAGGATGGGATTCAGAAATATAGGACCAGGCGATCAAGGGAGAGAAGGGCTTTTGACTAATGGAGTGACTACTCACATATTGAACATTGAGGTGGCCTGAGCGAGAAGGGGTTAAGCGTACTGCTTAAGATGGTGGCGAGCTCCCAACTGTACCTTGGCAGGTCCAGCTCCCTACTGACAAACTTGAGTCCAAGATTTTACTCGTTAACTCTCTAGTGCTCTCATTGGTTGACTATCGTCTCGTGGTGACTTCTGATTGGATGTTAGCTAGTCCTGCTGGACTCTGATTGGAGGTAGCTAACTCCATTGTCTTTGTCATGTTTTAACATGCTCCCGGAAGAAGAAGGTTTGTGAACTCAGTTTTATTAGTTCCTGGGTAATAATCTTTGCTTCCTGGATAATGAAATTCTGGTAATGGTTGTTTTTCTCTCCCAGTTCGTTTTAGGCCTAACCTTTATTAAAAACCTTTTGGATCATACATTGTATATATATATTGTGGTGGGGTTACATATAGTTATATACAAATTATGATATATATATATATATATATATCCTTCCTTATATATATAAAAATGAAATGCGAAATCGATGTTTGTTATCGCATCACGCAAAATCTACTGACTCAATCATTATGGAATTTCGCATGTAGGTAGCTGAAGATTTCGTTTAACATATAGGCTATTCAAAAAACTAAAAAATTTAATGTGCTTTTTTTTTTAAATAAAAAACCAAAAAGAGTTAATTCCAGTCTTTTACCGCTAGGGCGCAGCACTGGTCGCGACGATAAATGAATTTGATTTTTTTAAAGCATCGATGGTTCAGTGGTAGAATGCTCGCCTGCCACGCGGGCGGCCAAGGTTCGATTCCCGGCCGATGCATTTTTTTAAAGCAATTTTTAAAACTCATTTATATTATATCCTTCCTTATCCTTATATATATAAAAATGAAAGGCGAAATCGATGTTTGTTATCGCATCACGCAAAATCTACTGACTCGATCAATATGGAATTTCGCATGTAGGTAGCTGAAGATTTCGTTTAACATATAGCCTATTCAAAAACTAAAAAGTTAATGTGCTTTTTTTTAAAATAAAAAACAAAAAGCGTTAGTTCTAGTCTTTTACCGCTAGGGCGCAGCACTGGTCGCGACGATAAATGAATTCAGTGGTAGAATGCTCGCCTGCCACGCGGGCGGCCAGGGTTCGATTCCCGGCCGATGCATTTTTTTAAAACAATTTTTAAAACTCATTTATATTATATCTTCTATATAAATGGAAATTTCATAAGTGGTGTTCGCTGAAAACTTTCGTTACAATGCATCAATTTCGACCAAATTTTCAACATTTATGTAAAACGAGATGGAGCAGGTTTTGCTTAACATCAAAATATTTTTCCTAACTTTAAAATACATAACTTTGCTGTTATCGATAAAATACAAAAAAAATCAACAGAGTTAATTTTATTTATATATAAATACAAAAAAAAAAATTCAGCAATTCATTCAACTCGATCTAAAAAAATATTCAAAACAAGCAATTTTAAGATAACACCATATGTAAAACAGTCGGCCAAGAAAACAACAACGATATTACATCTTTCTCACATATTCACACACAATCTTGATTAATAATTAAAACTAATCTTTAGCATTGTTTATTATACTTCTTCATATATAATATTCGTTAGGCAAACTTTCACTCGGATAAAACCCGGGCGAAGCCGGGTACACATCCGCTAGTCCTTTCCTTCCTTATATATATAAAAATGAAATGCGATTCGATGTTTGTTATCGCATCACGCAAAATCTACTGACTCAATCATTATGGAATTTCGCATGTAGGTAGCTGAAGATTTCGTTTAACATATAGGCTATTCAAAAAACTAAAAAAGTTAATGTGCTTTTTTTAAAAAATAAAAAACCAAAAAGCGTTAGTTCCAGTCTTTTACCGCTAGGGCGCAGCACTGGTCGCGACGATAAATGAATTTGATTTTTTTAAAGCATCGGTGGTTCAGTGGTAGAATGCTCGCCTGCCACGCGGGCGGCCAGGGTTCGTTTCCCGGCCGATGCATTTTTTTTAAACAATTTTTAAAACTCATTTATATTATATCTATATTAATAAAATGCAAATTTCATAAGTGGTGTTCCTAAAAACTTCCGTTACAATGCATCAATTTCGACCAAATTTCAACATTTATGTAAAACGAGATGGAGCAGGTTTTGCTTAACATCAAAATATTTTTCCTAACTTTAAAATACATAACTTTGCTGTTATCGATAAAATACAAAAAAAATTCAACAGAGTTAATTTTATTTATATATAAATACAAAAAAAAAATTCAGCAATTCATTCAACTCAATCTAAAAAAATATTCAAAACAAGCAATTTTAACACAAAGCAATAACGCGCCATCTATACATATAAAATAAAAGGATTCAAAAGCGCGAATGTTTCTTTTATACATAAAACGAACTTCTACTGGCCTTACTGCGATGAAAAAATATATTGGGAGGGCTTGGCTCATCAGTGGTGAACCCTCCCAGCGGTTTCGCCAATTTAATCCACCAGACCGCTTCTCAGAGCTCTAATACTGTATTGGATCATTCTGCTTTTATATGCTACACTGAAGGATGGAATCTTAGAAATGGTTTTCAAGTAAACTATGGACATAAGCTTATAGGACAGTAGAATTGCATTCAAATATTTGCTTCGAGCAATGCTCTTCAGCAAACTATAAAAACAAGGCCATTAGGGATAAATTAACACAAAGCAATAACGCGCCATCTATACATATAAAATAAAAGGATTCAAAAGCGCGAATGTTTCTTTTATACATAAAACGAACTTCTACTGGCCTTACAATTTTAAGATAACACCATATGTAAAACAGTCGGCCAAGAAAACAACAACGATATTACATCTTTCTCACATATTCACACACAATCTTGATTAATAATTAAAACTAATCTTTAGCATTGTTTATTATACTTCATAATATATAATATTCGTTAGGCAAACTATTACTCGGATAAAACCCGGGCGAAGCCGGGTACACATCCGCTAGTATATATATATATATATATAAGTACTGGAATCCCTTCAATAAGGTAAGATAACAATTCGAGAATCAAGGGACGAGTGTCTTTTATACGTTATTTATTGTAAAACGCTCAAGCTTTCGGGCTGGCCGGCCCTTCTACAGGAGACAAGTGAAAACATATGGCACATTGAACACTATATAGGGAAGAGACTATTTACATATTTAAAAACTATAGGGATTTTGCATATCTATGAAATGTTGAGAGGAATAATGAGCATACTAGGAAATTATGGAAAGGCGAAATTAACATGCATGATAATAGCTATTGAATGTAGTAGAGTTAGGAATATTTTCTAATGTCTATGAGGGAGGAGGGGGGGAGGAATACGCATAGATGGAGGATACAAGGCTATGGGAACAGGGATTGGTAGGATTCATGGAGGTCGATGTGTCTATTGATGGCATGGAAGCCCTGGGAAACAAGAGCTTCCAAGGTGAGGCGCTGCTGCTTGTTGTATATGCGGCTATAGTGCACAGATGGATTGGCCAGGTCGAAAGAGTGGTTGGAGGTACGGATGTGTTGGTATATAGCTGATTTCTCATCTTGTCTGGAGATGTTTTAGGGACAAGACTCGAGGAGCACAGAAAAAACATCTCCAGACAAGATGAGAAATCAGCTATATACCAACACATCCGTACCTCCAACCACTCTTTCGACCTGGCCAATCCATCTGTGCACTATAGCCGCATATACAACAAGCAGCAGCGCCTCACTTTGGAAGCTCTTGTTTCCCAGGGCTTCCATGCCATCAATAGACACATCGACCTCCCTGAATCCTACCAATCCCTGTTCCCATAGGCTTGTATCCTCCATCTGTGCGTATTCCTCCCCCCCCCTCCTCCCTCATAGACATTAGAAAATATTCCTAACTCTACTACATTAGCTATTATCATGCATGTTAATTTCGCCTTTCCATAATTTCCTAGTATGCTAATTATTCCTCTCAACATTTCATAGATATGCAAAATCCCTATAGTTTTTAAATATGTAAATAGTCTCTTCCCTATATAGTGTCCAATGTGCCATATATTTTCACTTGTCTCCTGTAGAAGGGCCGGCCAGCCCGAAAGCTTGAGCGTTTTACAATAAATCAACGTATAAAAGACACTCGTCCCTCGATTCTCAAATATATATATACACTAGCGGATGTGTACCCGGCTTCGCCCGGGTTTTATCCGAGTGAAAGTTTGCCTAACGAATATTTTTGAAAATAATATTCGGGAACACACAAAATATTATGATAATAATGATAATTATATTCGTTACGTCATATATATATATAATACTAGCGGACGTACCCGGCTTCGCCCGGGTTTTACCCGAGTAAAGGTTTGTCTAACGAATCTCTCGATAAAGTGAACATTTTTTTCCCGGTCCCTTGAAAAATACTCGATAAGTTGAATAAAATCAATATTCATTGGTTCCCTCGGTAATTGGAAGTTAAAGGAATAGTATCTTGCCTTGGAATTGTATCATTATTCTTGTATGGATGTACCCGGCTTCGCCTGGGTTTTACCTGAGTAAAGGTTTGTTTAACGAATCTCTCAATAAAGTGAATATTTTTGCCGTGTCATCCTGAATTTTGTCTTTCCTAATTTTATACATTAGAAAATCATAGTTTTATCTAGTGAACATTTTTTCCCGGTCCCTTGAAAAATACTCGATAAGTTGAATAAAATCAATATTAATTGGTTCCCTCGGTAATTGGAAGTTAAAGGAATAGTATCTTCCCCTTGGAATTGTATCATTATTCTTGTCTTAAATAAATTGCCGTGTCATCCTGAGATAATCTTACTTTTGATAAATAATATTTAAGATAACAAACTTAGTGATAAGAAAACTTATCATCGTCACAATAGGGGCGCTGCTTGCGAGTTAAAACTACAAATCTGCAAATAACTCTAAGGATATTCGAGATATTCATGAAATTATTTTTCGAAAACCTTCCCGGTGATATACCTAATAATATCCCAAAATTTCACGAAGATTAGATGTATGGTTTTTGAATCTATAGAGTACAGACAGACAGACATTCAATTTTATATATATATAGACTAGCAGATGTGTACCCGGCTTCGCCCGGGTTTTATCCGAGTGAAAGTTTGCCTAACGAATATTATATATTATGAAGTATAATAAACAATGTTAAAGATTAGTTTTAATTATTAATCAAGATTGTGTGTGAATATGTGAGAAAGATGTAATATCGTTGTTGTTTTCTTGGCCGACTGTTTTACATATGGTGTTATCTTAAAATTGCTTGTTTTGAATATTTTTTTAGATTGAGTTGAATGAATTGCTGATTTTTTTGTATTTATATATAAAAAAAAAATTAACTCTGTTGATTTTTTTTGTATTTAATCGATAACAGCGAAGTTACGCATGTTAAAGTTAGAAAAAATATTTTGATGTTAAGCAAAACCTGCTCCATCTCGTTTTACATAAATGTTGAAAATTTGGTCGAAATTGATGCATAGTAACGAAAGTTTTTAGCGAACACCACTTATGAAATTTGCATTTTATTAATATAGATTCCCCAAAAGATTTTTTTAATGCAATAAAGCATGATACGGCAATATTGTCATCATCATTTCTGATTAAAAATATTGTTGCTCAGTACTTGGTTAAATATAATTTTTCTTGGTTAAAGTGCGACAAAAACTCTTCCAGATTTAACTCTCTGTCCTGTTCAAATTTCAGCGAGATTAGTTACATATTGAGGGCGTGCATAGCCGACAAACATATACATATGTTCCCGGCTTCGCCCGATTTTTACCCGAGTAAAAGTTTGTTTACAAACATTTTTTAAAACGATTCTAGCAAACATCCAATCCCTACTGAATCTATACTTGTCTACACTCTCGATATTTTTTTTCCCGGTCCCTTCAAAAATACTCGATAAGTTGAATAAAATCAATATTAATTGGTTCCCTCGGTATTTGGAAGTTAAAGGAATAGTATCTTGCCTTGGAATTGTATCATTATTCTTGTCTCAAATAAATTGCCGTGTCATCCTGAATTTTGTCTTACCTAATTTTCTACATTACAAAATCATCGTATCATCATGATAATATTTAGAGCAGATTGTTGAATTATAACAGATAAATTAGAATATTTATCT